AATCCGCAGTGTATTCTATATGATTTTATTCGAGTCTTCTAAGTATTGCTGCATGTCATCTACTGACACTAAACAAACATAACAGTGTAATGTATGGTTTAATGGTTTCCTGAATGTGTGGCAGGGCAAGAAATACAGGCTGCAGTATTCTTGATGGCAAACACAATTTCGGAATATCCCATGAACCCACTTCTATATTACTTCTAAATTCGTATGGAAGATAATGCATGCTCCCATTCTCAATTGACCATCTCACAAAATATTGTAAAGGTTGTAGGCTCTTCTCGGTTGTGGATACATTGTGAGTGGAAGCTGTATATTTATCACACCAGCACATGTATCCTGCATCAGGGTTGATATTTTGTAGAATTCATAATCTTCACTATAGAGACAATTGAAGTTTTTGTTTATTCCCCATACATCATTTAGTGTTTGTAAAATGTTGTTGAGATGGTAGGTCATCTTTGACTCCAATTTGTTTTGTTCATAGAGAGAAATTTTCTCATTATTGAAGACAAAATTATCTTTATTTCCAATTTCCCGGAATGGTAAAAGAGGTCTTCCTCCAAAGCTTGCTGTGGTCAAACTTTGCCTTACTACTTCTGCCATTCTTTACTCCCGGGTCGTACACCTTGATCAGTGTAAAAGGGACCATGATTTTGAAGTGTTTTATTTTCTTCTGCATGTACTCTTTCAACCACATTCATTTTGCTGAAATATTCTGCAAATGACAGTTGGGTGATTTTTTTCAAGGAGCTGTTTTAGTCCCCTGTTGACAACAGGATGTGGAACAGCTGATCGCGGCAAGGCGAGAACACTCATTGAATTTAGAAGAAAGATACCAACAAAGGTCTGACTGAAAGGTGATGCCATTGACGTGAATACAAGTTTGTTTGTATGCAATGGTAATGTGGACATGAACAACGACGATGGACGTTTTGCCACTTCATTTTGACCAAGCCAACAAAACAATGTTTATCTTACTGCATGTCACTAGAAATGACAGGTGAGAGTTAAGACGCGCCTTCATAATAAATTTAAAAAGCACTCAGCTGATGACAACTGGGAAGTTTACCGCCGCCAAAGAAATCTTACAACTTCAATACGTAAGCATGCCATTAAGAACTATTTTAAAAATAATGGGGGACCCCCAAAAATAATGACTTTTGGAAAACTATCAAACCTTTTTTGACAGACAAGGGCAATAAGGATAGTGGTTCTATAATGACTAAAACAAACAACAAAATTGAAACAAATCCTTGCAATGTTTCATGAATATAAAACAAAATTTGAACTCGTGTAACTTTTTCAAAAGATCGATGTCGGATAAAAAACTTATTTCCTTTAGTTTGGGGGTGGGGGGGGGGGGGG